GATTGTCAGTCTCCAGTTCCTTTGGGTTCCAAGAAAGATCAGTTCCTTTCACCACTCAAGGGCAGCGGGTGTAGGTCGCAACTCGATACCGATGGGAATGATAATTGTGACGTTCTCATCTCGGAAGCAAGCACAGTTGATGGAGGTGGATTAAATCATCTCAAGAGGAAGCGGGATGATTTGGTGGGGATGCTTGAATGGGTGAGAAATTGGGCGAAGAATCCTGGCTACTGTTCTGGTGGGAAATTTATGGCAAGTGACAGAGGAAAAGTCAAGGGTCTTGCAAGTAGTGAGCACTATGCTCAGGTACTTCTGGCCAGGCAAGCTGTGTCTCATAGAAGAACTCGCCGAACACTCTCTCAAGCAACTCATCATCAGGTACTAGTTCTTCTGCATGCATGCCCACAATTCTCAATCATATGCAATTACCAGGCAATTGGACAATATGACAAGTTAGACATTGTAGCAACTGGGCATATATATAGACATTGACAAGCTAACTTTGACAAACTCTTCCCAACTATATGCAGTCACATGGGTCTTGTACCAATTTTTGGTTCTAAGAAGCAAGAAAGGTGAGATTTTAAGAAGCATAGAGGTAGGTCTCCAGAAAACGAACTGAAACTCTCTCTTTCACCTTAACGAGAGTGAGCAGCAAATCTTTTACATCCTATTCCAAGGAACTGCCTCTATTCTCTATATCCCTCCTTTTCTTCACATTATTTTCCATTTAATCTTTTCAAATATCATTTTCCAATTATTCGAGTGAGTGGGTGCATATTTCAGTCCTTATCAAAGGAGTTGGCATCTAGCTATTGGCATTGGATGGTAGAGGCAAGTTGGAAGCATTCAATCCTACATGACATTTGATTTGTACTTGGGGTCTGTTCGGTTTTCAGTGCACCAATTTACCTGCATTTACAATTACACTACAATTCGGAATTACAATGACAAGTTCATGTCTTTCTTTTGCTTATTTGAGTGTAATTGTTAGATGTATTCTTTGTTGTTTGCCTGCTCGCATTTACAACCTGCATTCATGAGTAATGGCAAATGGTGGTAGGGGTGGTGATGGTGGGATTTGAGCCTAAACTTTCACATGAGACATGCAATTAGTCATTTTCAGATTTCTTCTGTACCATAGTTTATATCCTATAGCAAGAGCTTCATAATCAAGTTATCATCCATTTAAATTCTGAATTTAGAGATAAGACGATGTGATTAAATAAATATCACAATAAATACAGACATTATATTGTAAGCAAACTAATTAAAATAAAATTTGCAATTCTCCTGTGGCCTAATATTCAAAATTTGTATGAACAAATTTAAATACTAGTTGGACCGGTACATACTATCTGATATTTACCAGTTCGACCAGTTAGCAATTTGCAGACCAAGTAAATATTGGGGGGAATTGGTCCATAATGAGCTTACTGACCAACAAACAACAACTATCAGGTTTACCACTTGATATTTGGTCTGTACGAAACCTGTACATGGTAATAAGTCTAGCCTGGTTTATTGTACATTCAAAACAGGCCTTTGACTGAGATTTCATTCCAAGAGCCATTTGAAGTTGTTATTTTCCTTCTGATCATGCTTGAGATTTCAAGGAAGGAGAGAATTTCTCTCCAAACTAAGCTAAGTTTGATGCTAGATTTCATCCTTAATTTTTCATTTGCTGGCATGATTCCAGTATACTGTTTTATTGTTTTGAACATGATCTTTTTCCTACATGCTACAAATCTACAAACTATTTATTATCTAAACAGTAACAAAGTAAAACATATATATATATATATATATATATATATATATATATATATATATGTATATTGTCTTACTTTCTAATGTCAAGAATACGTGGCTTTTAATCTGAATTATATCATCTACCAAAAAGGCATTACAGATTTCGATTGAGCAACAAGAAGCTGTAGGTCCAATGACGTGTTGGACAACACAAGAATGATCACTCAATTTAAAAAAAAAAAATTCAAGAAAAGAAATCATTTATTGGATATTTATATAATATACAATCAATATTTTCTAATTCAGATGATATATACTTGTTTGTGAAATATTTGAAATATTCTCAAATTGAAGACATTTTGTCTACCAGTGTATAAGTGATATACTAAAATGATTATTTATAATTTTTAAATTCTTTATTTAATGGTGTCAATTTTTTGTTTGAAGTTCAAAATTTTTTGTCTGCATGTCTACGCTACTAATATCAGTTACATTGCTCCTTAAAATTAATATCAAATACCCGTGTTTATACCTAAAACTTTCTAAATACATTCTTTTTAAAGACATATACATTATCATCGTTGTGCATTTTCTAATTTTTTTTCTTTCTTTTTTTGAAGAAGAGCACTTGATGATTTTTATATTAAATCATATTTAAATAATATGTTAACTAGCATAATACAAGGATTTTTTTATTATATTATAATTCATATCGTGATATGTAAATCTGAATACCTGTTAGCTAAAGACTGGTTTCAAAGTTGTATTTATTGTAGGTTTTTTTTTTGTGCGGAACTTACAGAGTCAGCAAATGATCCAAATGTTACATTTACTTATGCAATACAAAGTACAAATCTTCTGAAATTATAACTGGTGAGAAGTCAAAAGCTCTATCCTTCTAATATGTGGTAGATGCTAAATCATTTTGCTGAATCCAGTGGTAAATCTACTTAGTACAGGACCTTTCTGTTGGCAAAACCCTTTGGATAGTTGTTTAAGATATTGGGCCTATTAGATATTTGTCGCATGTGTTGGTAGTTTTGAAATCTGGACTTAAATTTTGACGATCACTGGTTGTGAGCCAACATGTAGGAATGTTGAATAAGCTCCCCTTTTGCCACAATTGATCAATACTTATGATTTCTGAATCACATATCGTAGAAGATTTGCCTATGTTTTCCAGCTCTTGGAGAAATCATTATATGTTTCTGATTCATGAAAATTGTTTTTCTATGATTTTTCTTGTTATACCTGACTTAATAGATTATTGTTAGACCTTAGAAAAATTATTTATAGTTCTTTTATTACATTAATGAAGACAATGCTGTTTTAATTGAGATGAAAACCACCATCATACCTGGTCTTGCAGAATGGATTCCACTCCATTTGTGAGAATGGTAATGGTACCATTTCCCATGAGGAAACAAAATGCAATCAAAAATCCAAATCAAGAACTTGTCATCAAACATTCTGTCTTCATGAAGATGACATGGACAACAAGGGTCTGATGGCTGCAGGTGAGGAAAGCAATGATGTGAAACATGGGCTTCAGAATCCCTGCTTAGATGCAATAGCTGATTGGCTTTCTAGCGGTCCACCCCATGTGAAGATACCAGTAGGCAGACAATTTCAAGCAGAGGTACCAATTTGGACTGGCCAGCCTTCTGTATCTACTACTGGTTCTGATGAGTTCAAATGGTTGGGTACCAGGATCTGGCCTCCTGAAGGTCAAGAGAACGCACCATTTGATAATGTTGCTATAGGAAGGGGTAGGCAAGCTATCTGTCAATGTGAATGGCCAGGTTTTGTAGAGTGCACTAGGTTTCACATTGCTGAGAAAAGGCTGCAATTAAAACGTGAACTGGGTCCAGCTTTCTATGTTTGGGGATTCCGAAGTATGGGTGAGGAGGTCGCACTTTCATGGACAGAGGAAGAAGAATGTAAGTTCAAGGCCATTGTTCATTCGAATCGGCCATCTCTTGATAAAAACTTCTGGAACAAGCTTTATTTGTATTTTCCTCTCAAGAAGAGGAAAAATCTGGTGAGCTATTACTTCAATGTGTTTCTTGTTGGGCGCCGAAGGTACCAGAACCGTGTGACACATAACAGCATTGACAGCGATGATGAGGATATGGAATTTGGCTCTGTAAGTACTTCTTTTGGCCAAGGGGCAGTTAAAATCCATGATTCAGTTTCTGTCATCTGTGGTCAGAATATGCAATGTATGGATCTAGATGGATAAATGCGCAAAGAGGGTGGTCTTATTGCTTTACCATCTTTACCATGGTGATGATGATGAAAATCTTCTGCAAGGCAGCCTTTGTTGTGCATTACTGTGACTGTACCTGCAGAGGTTTTAATGGACATGGCGTGCGCTCCATCGTTGTTGAGGTTGATACATAGAGAAAGAGAGAGAGAGCAGCAATGTGGATACTTGATGCATTGGGTAGTGGCAAGTTGACAGCACCTTGTACATTTCGAAGATAGAACTTGTTTTTACTGATCTGTTTTGTCATATTTCTGATCCAGAAATGCTTGGAGGAAAGTAGAAAGTATGGAGGATGAAGTTAGCAATTGAAAATGTGTTGTAGCTCAGCATATTTCATCAGTTGTTGAAAGACTTCTTCTTTTTCTTTTTCTTTGTCAGGTCAGTGGTGCAAGTCGCCTTTAATTTTCATTGCAATCATTTATGCATTTGTGAGGGTTTTGCATGTTGCATATGGTGTACATTAATTTGCTTTCCTGCATTCCCTAAGCTCTCGTTTGGTGGCGGTCATCTATTATAGTTCTACTCTTGCTGAATATAATTAACTTTACCACTGATATGATTGCACCTATCTAAATTTCTGATGAAATCTGATGGTTTATGGACTTAAGTTTTGCTATTTAATGTAGGATTTTTATGTTAAGGAGACAAACACTTCAAGTTGGGTTATTCCAAGGTGTGGATATGTGCCACTAAATTGTTGTCTTTGAAATAATATCTTGATGGCGATAATCCATGCCTTTTCTCTTTTCAATTTGTAATGTCCTATGCTTAACAAGCAATTAATTTCATAATAAGTTACAAAAAACTTAAATATAAATTCATGACCATATTATTTGTCCGCATGAAGCTACAATCACGAACAATTTCTTCTCTTACTTACTCAATGATATATATATATATATATATATGAGCATAATTATGCATACTTGCTATTTTTCGTATATAACACTTGAGAGTATTCACATGATAAACTAAGGCTTCGAGGACACTCGCGCATCGACTCAATGGCGAGGAACAAGACTCGGTTGCTCATCCCTCGCGTTTGTCTCCGTCGTTTCCTCCTCGTGCTCTTGGCACTGTTGGTGGCGTCGTCGGAGGGTGGGAAGAAGAGAGTAAGCATCCCGGACGAGCTCGACGACGTGGTGGACGAGGAGGAGGACGAGGAGTGGAAACGGTGGGGCCAGAAGACGACGAAGCCCGACCTCCCCCCGCCTCCCGACTTCTCGCGGATGAGCCCCTTGGAGATCCAGGCCGAGATGATGAAGCGCCACACTGGCCCCTCCCTCGGCTTCGTGAAGCTTCGGCCGGGTGTTCCCCGCTCCAGGGTGCGACCCAATGCCGCCCAAGATTCGTTCTTTTTTCGTGTTTCTTTCTCCTTCTTCGTGGAACCTTTAGCTTTTGTGCGGTGATCTTCCTCGTGTTCTTCGGTTAAGCAGGCGCGATCTTGGCAAACTATGCTTACCCCCGTTCGGGTTCCTTATGCTAGGTTTAGGTTTCTTGTCGTTTTCCTTTCCCTCTTGGTTTGTCGTTGCGAATGCTGTATTATTCTTCATTAATTTTATGGATTTCGGTGCTTGAATAGACTAATTTTTTTCTGTATTATCCGGGAATTAGGTAAGCAACACTTTCTTTCTTCTTTTAATGAGATTTTGGAGGATTTCTAGCTTGATAGGCAATTATTTTAATGGCATTCGACATACGGTTAACAATTGGGGCACCGAGGCTCTTCCAGTGCCATGAGATGCTTTCTCTAGGGGATGTGGTCTCTTGAAATTATAGTTGTGTGATCTTTACAGTAAGTTGCATCTCCATTTCTTGTTTCCTTTGCATTCACTGGAGATAATTTGTTGCATATTTTGTGGTCGAATTCAGCACTCTTGTCCTCTTAATTGAGGAAACTAATGTTTCAATATCATGTGAATAATGTGGCTTTCTTTTATATCTACTTCTTGGTAACTTCTTTGCTTTTTGTGGTGTCATTCTGTCACAGTTTGCTTTGCTTACCCTTCGGTCGAGTGCCCTAGGGATCTTGTGTAATTCTTGGTAATTTCATCAGTTGGGAGGCATTTCTTGTTGATCTAGGGATCTTGTGTAAATTATGCTGCTCAAATACTTAATGGATTGCCATCTCTTTTGAAATGCCTTCTCAATATCAATTAGAGGACCTCAAAGCATGGATATATTTCTCATCTGAATGCACCATCCATAGTTCAGTCTTTCTTGTCAAGCAGATCCCATTTACAAAATAATTTTCTTCTTATATCTGTTGTTATTGTCTATGAATTTTCCTTTCAAAACCAAATAATAGATTCGTTGTATCTTAAGCAAATACAGCTGGTTTACAATGACATTTTATATCTGATTTTGGTTGATTAAATACATCTCTTTAATATAAAAGAATACCCTTAGATCATTTGTTTTTTTCTTGGAGTTTTTTCTAAAAATCATTATGTTGCATTATATTGTGTGGTGGTCTTTAGAATTGGACTCACCATGGTGGTATAGTGTTAACTAATTTTATCTCCATACCTATTCTTAATTATCTGTATTATAATTTATGATAACAATAATCGAAGTACTTCTAGTTGTCCGTTTTTCTTCTTTTGGATCTCTATTTTTTGTGCAATCCTTTATGGGATTTGGCCTCACCATACTGGTAATTTGATCTCTATACCTATTCTTAGTTAGCTGCATTATAATTTATGATACCAATAATTGAACTCCTTCTGGTTGTCCATTTTCCTTCTTTTGGATCTCTATTTTTTTCGTAATCCTTTCTATGGGAATATCTAATCAAAAAGTTCCATAAGTTTTTTGCATTCCTGATTAGTTTGTGACATTCAGGAAGATGTACCTGCCATTGCTATGCGATGGAGCAAGGTTCTAAGAACTGGATCTGTTGGGGTCAAGTTCATGGCTGTTGACCTGAACACCATCATGTTTACAATGGAAAGAGGCCAAGATTTGGAAGAGGTTAGTCTTTATGAAATATCAAATATCGTGCTCGAGTTGTCCAACAACTGCTTGTAGCAATCAAGTGGTGGAACTGAATTTTATTTTTTGTCCTTTTAAATTCTGGTCTTATGCACCAGCATTATAGTTGTAGTATGATATTGAAGAATGATGTATTTCACTTCCTTTTCCAGTTGAAAGAGTTTGTTCTGAGTCAGCCAGAAGCATATGAGATTAAGATTGGGCAACAATTGTATCGAAGACCTGGTGATCCACCGCTCGATGAAGTTGTTGAGAGTCTACATAAAAAGAAGACTAGTGCCAATGCCCATGAAATTGGCAGAGATTCACATACTTTGAGTGACGAGCTGTGAAATCATAACATCAGCCTTCTTTACGCTTCACAAAAATGTAGGATGTGTGACCTTTTCTTTTCAGATGCACTTATTTGCTTTCCTTTTTTTTTTCCCCTTTTTTTTTCATGTTTGTACATTGATAGCTCTGGAAATCCCAACAATAGAAGCTGAGCTGGGGCTTCCATTGGTTAGCTTCTGTACTGGTGCCGAACATTTGTTCTGATACAAGCAATGGGATGCTTTAAATATATGGATGGTTTGCCTGCTTCTTCAGAAATAAGATTTAAATTGTTTGATGGCACATGAATGTGGAAAAGCTGATGATGATTTGACTATAACATGGATTAGGCTACAGTGGGAGACAACTTGGGCAGATGATCATATAATGGACTAAGCTCAGCTTCAGTTTGAACAAATATTGAACCCTCTGCACACACCATCAATCCCGAGATATGTAATGAGCAAATATAAATACAGATTGGCTCTTTCCATTCATTCATATGTATCACAGGCTTACAGTAGGATTTAAATTTTTTTATCTCATGACTGAACACAATACATACAATATAATCACTTTTTTTATTTACTGGATGTCTTTTTTAGAAAATCATATGTTTGTTACAGAGAAAATAAAATTATATATATATATATGTATATGTATATATATATATATATATATATATATATATATTTATATGTATATATATATATGCATATACATATATATATATATACATACATTTATATACATATATATATACATATGTATACATATGTTTGTATACATATAAATATCCACCGACTTATAAAAAGCCCCATGTGTTCCATCAAAACTCAATTTGGATTCAACTAAAATCTTTCATTTTCATTCCTTTAGGGTATTTGCTCATTGTAAGACTCTTTTTATGATATTTATGGGCTAAATTTAAGATAAGTGGAAAGAGAAAGAATCTTTGTCATCCTTTATTTGAAATATATCAAAAGCTTTGTAATTTTGATAAATGACCATTCAAGTTCTTATATGAATTATTTTATAAAACCTCAAAAGCTATAATAAAATTGATACCTACGTTTAGTAGGATTTAGATTAATTAAGACTCGATTGTAATATTTTTAGCAAATTTATAGTGCCTTGATTAACTAAACCAAAACAATGCAAGTTTATTTAAAGGTGGAGTAATTAATTAATGCATTACCATTTTGATTGCCATTCTTTCATAATAAATTAACACAATATTATCAACAATTTCAAAATATATAGAGATTAAGTGCGTAACATTTTTATCAATTTTCAATTAAAAATAAGCTTTTTTTAAAAAATATATAAAAACCTAAATTTAACGCCAACTAAAAAAAAAAAGAAAATTTATCATCCTTTATTTTCAAATATACCAAACATGGTTAATTTTCTTCTTAAATTCCATTCAAAATCGTTTTAGAAACTGTCTAATATATCATTACATCGAAACATATGATAATGTTGATAATTAAGATTTGTGAAAATTTAAACTAATATAAACTCGGCTATAGTATGTCGGTTTGATGATAAAAGCACTCTAAACCTATAAATTGTAACTAAGAATGTCACACTTTTTCTATTATCATTATTTTTCAACAAATAAAAATAAATATAGTAATAAAATTAATAAATGGTAGATATAAGTTTAAGATTAAGTGAGGAAAAAAAAAGAGGATTTTAAATTACCTAAAATATATCTAAATAACTTTTAATTTTCATCTAAAATCGCTCAAAAACTCACAAATAAATCGTTTGACAAAACCTAAAATATATAATAATTATAATTATAATTAAGGTTATTGAGGATTTAAAGTAATCGAAGTGGATCATAGTATTATTTGAATTAGAGTTATTCTATGTTTGGTTTAGTAATCCTAACTATTGTAGTATTTGGTTTAGTGATCCTAACTATTGTAGTATTTGGTTTGATCTAACTGAGGATAGAATTGTGATTATAGAAAAGGAAAGGCACCTTTCGGAATACATGAAACCGTCGCGAATCGGCAAAATTATAAAGCCGGAGGGTGTTTTTGCGAAACCGCCCGTGAATCGTTCGTAAACACATTAGTATCTCGTATTCTTCGTATCATCGATATTCCTTTGTGCCCTTCCTCTCGCCCCGCAGGCGGCGTCCTCCAGGGCTCAAGAGTGGCCGGCGCCGACCAAGATCCGGAGAAAGCCTACGCTTTATCCCCACCACAATTGGTAAGCGTCTCCCTCGACCCTTTGCTCCTCCGATTTGGTGGATGCGCTTGCCTTATCGCCCAAGGATGGCGCAAATTCGTCTCGGATCGATCGAGAACTCTAGATTTTGGTCTGTCACTTGGTTTCTTGCTTTTCTAGAGTTCCTTCCTAATTTCTTTGGATTTCTTGACTTGATAGTGCACTTTGTTTGATTAGAGTCCTAGGGTTTTCGATTGACTTGTAACAAAAAAAGGTCGAACTTTGATCGGTAAACTTCTCTGCGAGAAGAAATTTGGACTCGCTTTTGCGTTGATTGGGGAAGATAGGGTTTGTGTTTCTGATTTTGGCTTGGTTTTAGGGTAGCCGAGGAACTCGATAGAGTCGGATCTTTTCTCTTTGCTGGTGGATGTACGCATGGAATTGGGGTTTGGTTTCACGATTCGTGATCGGGACTTATTTGCGTAGGAAGAGCAAGCATTTCAGATTTGTTCTTTCCCCGTTTTCCTGGTCTCAGAGAATCAGAAATATAACTAGCATTATCTTGGTTAGATGAAGACTTTCTTAATAGTTGATTGATTCTTGCGAGGTTTCTTTGAAACAGGTCTTTGTCTAGAAGTCATGTGCCATTGAACCCACTCAGGTTAAAGGTCATCTGCAAATGGAAGGGTCTGAATCCAGTCGGAGTCGCAGTAAGAGAGATTTTGAGGAGATTACGGAGGCTAGGAGCAGCAGAATGGAAGTTTATGATGACTGGGAAGGCACAGATAAGAAGAAGCACAAGTCCAGCAAGTCGAGGAAGCATGCTGATATAGAAGAAATTGATGAACAGGACAGCGGAAGAAGGAAGGTTTTGGAGGACAGGAATGATGCAAGGAAGAAGTCTGCTGGTAGTGGAGATGAAGATGATTACTCAATGAGAAGGGATTCACGCTCGAAGCTCCCACGAACGAATGCAGATGAGAGAGTTGAGAAACGATCTGGTGATGGGTATCGAGATAGGGACCTGGAGAGCACCCGAAAGAAGAGAGATGATGGAAACGAGGGGGAGTTCCCAAGGAAAACGAGTCTGAAAGTTTCTGGTCATGAGATTTCTGATAATAAAACAAGAAACAAAGCGGACAGTTCTTGTGATGGTGAGAATGAGAAACCACATGACCGAGACTCAAGGTATCTTGAAAGGAAAGAGAGCAGCAGAGATAAAAAAGATCAAGGACAGAATGAGCAGGAAAAGAACCCACAACGTAGGAGATGGGATGAGGTAGAGACCAGCAGGAAAGCAGATGAAAGCAGTCATGCAGACAGATCTGATTCTAGGGTCAGGAAAGCTTCAGAGCACAGCAAACATGAGCTTCATGGAGACAGAGAGCTAGACTTTAGGAATGATTCAGGAGAGGGTAAAAGTAGGGTTTTGGATGCAAGTGGTGAGAAAAGTAGTAGGTCTGGTAACAGGGATGATAGGAGGGAGGATAATTTAAGGGGCAGGAGTTGGGGCAGATCAGAAGCACAAGATGAGGAAAGTAGGGTGATTAATGCCTCTCATGAAACTAAGTCAAATGTTGTCAGAGATGATAGGCAAAGAAGGGTGAGAGAAAGATCTACTGGATCAACAGAAGATGCAGAACTAAATACCCATAGTTACAGTTCGAAGCAACTTAGTGAGAAAGGTGAGAAGCAAAGGCAACAAAGAAACTCGGAACATGGTAGTCGCGATGAAGTTGAAAACTGGGATAAGTCCAACATGGATGAAGATGCGCGTTCACGCACATGGGGTAAAGGTGGGAGGGATTCCAGACGTTATAAAAGGTCTCGCAGTCCTGAGAGGAGCGGAAGAAATCACAGAGAGTTTGATGAGCATGATCGAGGATTTTCGGATTCTGACAATGAAAGAGGCACTAGTGTTAAGGGTGCCTGGAGTGACAAAAATAGAGACTGGGAGACATCTAAAGATCATTGGAAGAGAAGTCAGACCAGGCAGGATTTAATAGATGGGGATGACTTTGGGCATACAAAAGAATGGGATATGCATAGGCGTGAGCATGAAAGATTAGACAGTGACAATATTCACAGTAGGCCTGGTTACAGAAAAGATACCAGAAGTAGGCCTGAAAGTGTGAGAGTCTCCTCAAATTTTAGCAACAGAAATGAGAGTTCTGATTCAATAGAAATCAGGCCCAATAAGAATTTAGATTTTGGAAGGGAAGAATCGGTTTCAACATTTCCTGCAAGGAAAGCAGAATTGGGATCACAACAGGATTTTGCTTCTGGAGCTAGTGATGAGGAATGGGGTTATTTAGCTGAGGATAGGGGTAAAACTGCTTCTGCTTTTGGGGATGATTTACATGAGAGGTTCCAAGATGATGACTCACCTATAGAGCAAAATTCCGGAAGAAATTCTCTTGATTCACAGGCTGGGAAAGGTAGGATCCAGAGAGCTATGAGCTCTAGCCGTATTGGTGCAAGCCAGAGTCCTGGTAGTAATATTCAATCTTCATTTGGGAACAACCAGGGAACAGGCTCTTTAAATAGGGGTCCTCAGCAAGGTCCAAAAGGTGCTAAACCAGCGAGAGGAGCAAGAGGAAGATTAAATGGGAGAGATACTCAACGTGTTGGACTTCAACCTTCAATGATGGGTCCCCCCTTTGGTCCCCTGGGCTTGCCACCTGGTCCGATGCCGCCAATTGGACCAAATATGACCCATATTCCACCACCACCCATTGGACCTGGTGTTGTCATCCCCCCATTTCCAGGACCACTTGTTTGGCCAGGAGCTAGAGGTGTTGATATGAATATGCTTGCTGCCCCACCCAACCTTCCTCCTATCCCACCCCTTGGGCCAACACGACCGAGGTTTCCAACTAATATGGGAGCTGGCCTTGGTCACTCAATGTATTTCAATCAACCTGGCCCTATTAGGGGAGTTCCGCCTAACATATCTGCTCCTGGATTTAACACAATAGGGCCAGGTGGTCGTGAAATGTCACATGATAAAGCTCCGATGGGTTGGGCACCACCAAGAACCAGTGGACCTTCTGGTAAAGCTCCGTCAAGGGGAGAACAGAATGACTACTCTCAAAATTTTGTGGACACTGGTATGAGACCCCAAAATTTCATCAGGGAGTTGGAGCTTACTAGTGTTGTGGAGGACTATCCCAAGTTGAGGGAGCTTATTCAGAGGAAAGATGAGATTGTAGCTAATTCAGCTTCATCACCCTTGTATTATAAGTGTGACCTACGTGAACATGTACTTTCTCCTGAATTTTTTGGCACCAAGTTTGATGTTATTCTTGTGGATCCTCCTTGGGAGGAATATGCTCACCGGGCTCCTGGTATTACCGACCACTTAGAGTACTGGACTTTTGATGAGATACTTAATCTTAAGATTGAGGTGTGTTCTTCTAGTTTCATTTTCGCTCCAATGTTATTGCATGTTGTTGTTGCTTAGATCATGCCCAAATTATTTTTTCTTGAAATACGATGAATTGGAATTTAATTATTGTTTACTGTTTCAATCAGGCAATAGCCGACACTCCATCGTTCATCTTCCTGTGGGTTGGTGATGGTGTGGGCCTGGAACAGGGCCGTCAATGTTTGAAAAAGGTGTGTTAAGTCTTTTACCTCGGCTTTTGTATGTACCAGCTATTGATTTTGCCTGTACTGTTGTTGCTATGCATGCAACACTCTTCACAAGTGAGTTCAAACTCTATCAGGGGTGAGAGCAACCTTGTATGCAACACTGGACACAGTTCACTGTGTTTCTCCTGAGCATGCTCATGCTTGTTTCAAGCACCGGAGGCACTTTATGTGCAGATTATATTTCTTTGTATGTTTTTGTGATATCATATCACTCTTTTTTTCCCCTTGATGAACGCTCATAGTTGATGTTTTAGTATCTGATGGTCCTGTTATGTAGTGGGGATTTCGAAGGTGTGAAGACATTTGCTGGGTTAAAACCAACAAGAAGAATGCTACTCCAGGTCTGAGGCATGATTCTCGCACACTGTTTCAGCATTCAAAGGTTGGTTATTTTACCATCCAGGTTCTTATTTATCTTCTTGCCAATTCTTTACATTTTTCTTATAGTAATGTTGCTCCATTTATAATTTGTAGGAACACTGCTTGATGGGCATAAAGGGAACTGTTCGTCGTAGCACAGATGGGCATATCATCCATGCCAATATCGACACAGATGTTATTATAGCTGAGGAACCAACTGATGGTCAGTTTTCTACTGAGTATTGCATTTTCTTGTGTTATTCAGAATACCTAGTTGTAACGTTCATTATTGTGGTGAACATGTGGCCACATATGTTTTTGTGATTGATTTTTTTAGATAAACTTGAAGAGAAACTTGTGCTTTGTAATTGTGTCCTTCAACACAAAAAAAGCTCGCCTTTAGAAGTGAAACATGCTTCTTCTAGTTTATTCTGTCGGTATCCAGCTGTCAGTCCCTAGTATGCTGCATTTATTGTTGATCTTTTGTTGGATACATGTGTATTAACTGTTCGAACTTTGTTTTATTGTCTCATCAATATTTGTGTATTAATTTTTTTAGTTTGCTTGTGGACCAAAAATGCAAATTAGCAAAATAAATCTGTTTATGAATTATGCTGAATGGTTATGGAGAAACCTTAGTTTCATGTATGTAGTCATCAGCTGGTCATCAATTGTCATCCTTTGTCTTTACATGAAATGGTAAAATCTTAGGTCAAACGTATACTAATCTTAGGTGAATATCTTTCCTCTATTTACTTTTAGTTGAATGGAGCTTCATCATATCCTGTGTTTGTTGTCTCATTTTTTACCTTTATTTTCCACGTCCAGCGGGTTCAACCAAAAAGCCAGAGGATATGTATAGGATTATTGAACATTTTGCACTGGGCCGACGAAGGCTTGAACTTTTCGGTGAAGACCATAACATTCGCTCTGGCTGGCTAACAGTAGGAAAAGGACTATCGTCCTCTAATTTTAACGCTGAGGTACACACTCTTCACACGATGAACCTAAATTTGCATCCTACCTAGCATTTCACATCATGATATTTGATAACCATCCTAAATTTGCAGGCCTATGTTCGAAACTTTTCTGACAAGGATGGGAAGGTTTGGCAGGGAGGTGGTGGCCGAAACCCTCCACCTGATGCTCCACATCTTGTGATGACTACTTCAGAGATTGAAAGTCTGCGGCCCAAATCACCTCCCCAGAAGAATCAACAACAATCAACACCGTTACTGCAGACGGGTAGTTCTAGTAACAGAAGGCCTTCAGGAAACTCTCCGCAGAACCCCATGAATCCATCTCTTTCTGGGTTGAACGCAGATTTTTCGGGCTCGGAACCAGCAACGCCAGCTCCCTGGTCCTCCTCCCCAATGGTAGGATACAGAGGACCAGACCCGGAGATGATGAGCGTCGATGTTTATGATGCCTACGGGTTTAATGCTGCTTCGTCACATGCATTTGGAGATCATATTGATTTTGATTCGCATCGGGGACCTAATTTGCTGTAACAAGGAAGAAGCAGTGGTGAAATCCCATATTTTTGATTTGATATTCAAGCGTGAAAATGTTGGACGAATTGCACCATGCAAATTTGGTCCGAGAGGCCACCGAGCTTTAAGCTGAGCTTATTGTTTTGTTTATTTACTTGTTAAGGATTTCAACGATGGTAAAATTCATATAGCCTGTGTCAAATGGTTGGGATAGCAGCAGGTTGTTGGTCTCTTATATTCTTTCAAATTGTTCTGACCTCCATCATGTTATATGGTGCATCTCTTGGATTAGATTGGAACTCTCCTCTCTGTGGATCTCTGTAGCGGTAGCAGCCTCTTTTCTGTGGAATCATGTGATGGCTTACTTACGGATACTCTACATTCTAATGTAGCATGCTGACACGTGCCTTATAAAAATGCATTTCTTTTGTTTTTTTCTTTCCTTAAACTAAGAATAATTCTTTTTTGGAGTAACATTAAATTCAATACATTTACGTGCGGTGGTGATATGAATCGCTTCATCCTCTGAGGAGACAGAACGTCTCTGCGTCGTATATTAACTAAGTGGTCTTTCATAGTTTGTATGTGCAACGATCATGCACGTCACACGATCCCTTCGCAGATGATAGCCAGCAGCACTATGGGAAAGCGCTGTTGCTTCTTCGTCCCAACGTGATGGCATTTGATGGTGTTAAATCCATCTAAGCATAGCATAGCATAGCATAGCACAGCATAGGCAAGAAGAACACCAAATCATCTTGCGGTAGAGCTTATTGTGCATTCAAAGAGCAAAGAAGACACATAGCATGTAATTTATTGCCTGCAAGTTCAAGATGGAATGCCAAAGGTCACAAGTTGCCCTACCAAGGGTGGGAAACAGCGATGCAAGCCACGTACATTTCACTCAGTGCCAATCCTTCCTTGCATCTCAAGCAGTGAAGACATGCTACCAAAAGGCAATCGACACCACGACCACCGACCTCGGCGCATCATCACCAGCCCGCCACCGTCGTCGTCGGCGAGGATGGACGCGCCGCCTGCCTTGATTACATAAGGCATGGTCTTCTACTTGCTCTTTAGAGGAGAGGATGGAGATGGCTCCTCAGATGGTTATATAATCGTGCAGGTTATGCCACAGGCTTAGTGGTGGCCACAGCACCGCTGACTGTTTGAAGTGATGAAGGGTGAGAATGAGATGGATTGCCTCTTCCTCAGCGGGCGGCATCTTCCCGGGATATGCGGCGAGCACTTCAGTGTGGCTGACAACCACCTTCCTTTCCTTTTTGCTGGCCTCAACCTTTCTGTACTTTCTCCGACACACATGCATGAATTGGATGCCTTTGCTTCTCTAATTCTGCCCTCACTCACTTCTTCTTTTACTTTAGGTAAGAAGTTGGCCATCGTCTATGGTGTCAGGGCCACCCAAGATGTTGTGGAACTTCAGCTGGGATGTGGAGTCTCTGCCTCACCAGTGGACTTGAAGTCAAGCTTTCTCTTGGAATAGGTATGTGGACACTTATTTGGTTCATTGGTTTGCCATTGGATTATTCATTGAGCACAACTAAATCAGGTGAAATAATGTAGGAAGGGGTGAAAATTTTCTGGGTTAATTGGATTTGAAAGAGTATTACTCTTTGGATTGAAGCAAATTTGAAATGCTATCAAACTATGCATTGCTCATGGCTAATGGGGAGTAATGTGACTCCTAAAAGCAAAGCAAAACCAGAGCCAATCCATGGCCTGCTAATATTAGTACTTTCTTGATCAGAATATACAGAAATCAGCCTTTGTAGCCTCATGCTTTAACTAGATATTTATAATTATATTACAGTAAACAATCCTCTTTTCTTCTGTAGAAAGCATGTGTTATGTATAATGATAAATGAAGTCATTTTTGTTCGTCGAGGTAGCTGAACATATAGGAGTAGAAGTTCTATAATCGATGTAATGGCCCCTAATTTTGACTTTTAATTTGTTAGCCTTTGATGTGATTGACCGTCAATATGTCGACGCTTGATGTGATTGATCTTCGATTTGCTTGACCTCCAATATTATGATCTTCACTAGATGAACCTCACATGTGGTGACTTCCAATGTGGTCAACCTTTCATATGATGATATCAACTTGCAGGATAATACTCGATGAGATGATAAAGTTGGCTCAAGCAGGAGAACTCCAGCAATCAATTCAGGTCCGACTGATGAAAAAATGTCAAGAGAGAAGAGGTTTAATTCAAGACTTCTCATTGTCAATGGGCTGTCACTCTTGCCACATGCTGTCTTAATTGAAAAGTCATAGGGGATCCTTTTTTATCCCATCACACTGATCCGTCACTCTCCAAAGACAGTCTAAGATTTGGACAAAGAGTGTGTTAGATCATAAATGAATGTTTGTGGCATCTCAGTTTGTGGATGCATAGTGGTTCCTTCCCTCTCAAGCTGCTATCATGTTGACCTTTAAGATGTATGTCGACGACATACATCAAAAGGTTTATTTATCGGTTCTTGACATTCTTAATATCCATGAGATTCTTACCGATCAAAAGATTAACATCTTAGTATCAGAAATAATTTTCTCTTGGCATATTTTGCATGAAGTTAGGAGAAATATCTACCACGTATTTAACACTGAAGATGGTTAATCCCCGAAAAGTACTCGGGTGCTCTTATAGCTCATAGAAAAATTTAGACTTTTGCAATGAATAGTTTTATTCAGCTTATTTTGAGTAAATTTTATCATGGATAGGATTCACTCTTTTCTCAAACTAATTGATCGGTCCTAATGCCACTCCTTTACATTCTCTCAACATCATCTTAATCATCAAATCTGTCAAGAGATTCCTTTGGAATTCTAAAACCCAAGCTTTGGAAATGCATCTTTTAGCCTAAAATACTGTCACCTTGGCCAAATGTGAAGGAGAAGTAGGTGTTTAAGGGACCTTCACATTATGAAGTTCTCCCTTAAGATCAAAATAATCTCTTATTACTTATCCAACTCATCTAACCAAAACTTTTGGGTTGACAGTGTTGAAGCCTATTATGACCCACTAAACCCTCAGCAAATATAGTACTCCTCTAATTACAACCAGAGTTGGCACTTTTTTTCAGGCCCTTGAACACCTCACATATGATTCTATGAGATTTATTGGTAATGATGCCACTATTACTGTCATTTTTGATAATTGGGTTCTTGATATGTTACTGCCTTAGCCTGCTTATTGTAACATCAATATTAATGAAATCTCCCCCTCTTTGCTTGTTTCTAGTTTTCTTTCTTGTAAGCAATGCAAGTATGATAAAATTTATCTCATGTTTTATCTAGTTTTAGCCCACCAAATTAATGGAATGGACATTGCCATGGAACCAAATATGATTTTTGGCTTTAGAAGCCTGGACATAGGAGGTGTATTATCTCTGCTTACCATTTTGACACTGCTGTCTTCCCATCACTAGTAGATTAACTAAAATGAGCATTTATGCTATTTCTTTGTCTTTAAGTGTGGCTCAGAACATGAGTCTGTCTCCCTGTGTTTTTTGTTTTTTCCCTAGTCATTTTTCTTTCACCCTTTGGAATCTCTTTCAACTCAAGTTGATGTTTCTGTTTCTCTTTTTGAGTGTTGGGATGAGGGAGTTTGGATGGAAGGAGCAAAGCTGGACCCCAAGGGCTGGCATTGCCATTGGACTTTGGTGGTGATGGTCATGTCCTTCATGATAGTTCATTCTGGTGATCCTTCTTTTGTTGGTTGCATATTTATAGAAGGGAAAGGCACCTTATTCTGTGAAGTCCTCTTTGTTGAAGATGACCTACTTGCTTGCAGCTAAACTGGAAGGAGGATCCAACTTCATCCAGCCATTTGGAAATATATTCTCTTTGGAAATATGTTTTTTTTGTGTCCTTAAAGAAATGGTTTCTTTAGCGATTCCAAAATGGATGTATAATAATAATAATTTTTTTTTATGTCCAATTGGAGTGAACCCAACAACAAATTAATTAACATAATGGTCAATTTATCAATGACCTAATTCATTTGGGTTTGGCTAACCCTACTTAAGCCCGCGGTTGGGTTAATTTCCTCTACTAATTCCAAGAAGGTTGGTAGAAGGAGCGGAGAGAGAGAGAGCGAAGACAGAACGGTGTTTCCGCCCACTCACCTCTTTTGTAGATTGTGTTCACATGCGATCAGCACATGTTCTCATTTCCCCCTCTCTTTAACATACAAAAGTTGAAGTCTCCCCTCCTTTCTCGACTCCCTATACCCACCGAGCTTCTTTTTCCCCTCTCTCTCTCTCTCTCTCTCTCTCTCTCTCGTGGTCCAACTTCCCCTTTCCTCTCGGTCTGCACAGAGAGTGATATATACACATAAGAGAGCAGAGCAGTTGCGACTGGTGGTTCGAAGGAGGCGGCGGGGGGTCGTCGGAGAGGCAGCGGGGCGGTGGAGGGTGATCTACGTGGTTTGGAGCTTGGTGGAGCGCGGGATCGGGAGCGCGGTGGGAGCCGACGGGGCGTGGATCTGTGGCGGCGACGGTGGAGGCGGGCTGTGGCATGAGGGCGTGACGGTCGGCTTGATGGCCGTGGCGGGACTCGCCTTGGCCGCCATCCTCGTCGTCTCCTCTCATAGGTAAACAGCAAAGGGCGCTTGCTTTCTAGTTCCTTACCCCAGTAATTGAGAAATAGGAGGGTAGAAATCGAGTGTTTCGAAGAGTGAGAGAGAAGCTTCTAGATGAGTGTCCTCCGACGATCCCATACTTCTTCGTCTTCACCATCGTCGTCGTCGCCTAAGTCGTCATGGATCCATTTGAGATCGCTTCTCATTGTTGCCTCCTCACCTCTTCCTGATCGGTGAGTCACCCTTATCTTTTCCCTCTTCTCATAACGTGTTTCTTGTTCCATGTCTTTGATTGTCTCCTTAATTTTCACTAGAAGATCAGCTTCCCTGTAATATCTTGTCTCTAAACGCAATTGAACAATAGAAGAACAAGAGGGACTAGGAGCTATAATTTCTTTTGGCCACTCAATTCCTTTTTATTTTAGTCTTCCATACTAATTTGCTCAGATAGTTTACTTGGTTTGCTGGCTGTAACCTAAGAATGATCTCCTGCATATGAAGCTACTATTTTGCCCTCTCTTTTTTTTAGTGATAAATGCTTAATGATTACTTATCACAGTGATTTGTCCTCAGTGGTTGATGTCTTTCTCATTTTAAGAAGATTTTAGAAAAGTAATTTTGGCCTCTGTTGTTTAAATACTATGTAATGTACGAGCTCTATTACCACTTATTGTTTATATGGCACTTACATTTT